ATTGCTGGGGTTACAGGAAAACAGCAGAAATCATGAGTACCTGCCAGGGCACCTCTCCTCTCATGCTGTCTGATCCACCCACAACCCGGGTGCCCGTCTTAATTATGGGTGTGATTTTGGTGGTGGTGGGGGCGGCGGCAGCGGTGCTGGTTTCCGTGATGTTGTCGAGCTCCTCGTCATGAGCATCATCGTGGTCGATGGCGGTGATGTTCCAGTGCTCAAAGGTGTTTATGGCACGGGTCAGCTTGCTCTTGACTTCGGGAGCTGTGATCCTCCCGCAGGGATATGGCACTGGGAGAGAAATGGTCATGGTTAAGACTGGCTGGGCATCACGCTGAGGGTTACAGTGATCCAGGGGGCAGGTGAGGAGGCAGATGCTGCCTTGTCTCAGCGCCGTTTGGGGACCGAGTGAAGGTGATATACCAAAAGTTCATAGAATCATAGAATTGTCCAGGGTGGAAGGGATGTTTCAGGTCATTGAGTCCAACCATCAACCTAACACTGACAGAAACCATCACTAAACCATGTCCCTCAGTACCACGTCTGTCCAGCTTGAGATACCTTCAGGGATGGTGACTCCACCCATTCCAGTGCTTAATAACCCTTTCAGTTTAAATTTTTTTCCTAATATCCACCTCCCCTGGTGCAACTTGAGGCCATCTCCTCTTGTCCTTTCACCTGTTCCTTGGGAGAAGAGACTGATTCCCCCTGGCTACACCCTCCTTTCAGGGAGTTGGAGAGAGCAAATGTGTAATGTGTAAGAGCAGCAAAATATGCACAAAATATACAATACGTAAGAGCAGCAAAAGCACAAATTGTTTCCAGGCTGTAGAAATGACACCTGAACAGCTTTTAAAAAGAAGAAAGTGGAGAGAGAGAGGCTGTGCCTGGTGGGAGGGTGCAGTGGTCTCTGTTTTTGGTGGGATGGGGAGGGACATACCCAGGAGGTTTGCTGTGGGGGGGTGACCAGCCTCTTGGCTGACATTTCTACAGCAAGTAACTCCAGCACAACAAAAGTCCAGCTGGGAGAAGGCAGGAAACCAGATCTGCCAATTGTACAGATAATCCCGCTTGGCACCAAGGTGAGGAAAACATTAATAAACTCTTTCTAGAGTTGTAGACTTTTCTCTGTTAATGAAGATCTCAACTGCGGGCTCGCTCCAGACGAGCTCTTCCCGTTTCTCTCCTACGCAGTGCGTGCCAAATTCCTGCTGACGGTGGCAGTCAAAATAGTAAATAGCATCAGGCATTGTCTTTCGTCTGAAAAGCTTTTGACAGCACTATGCAAACAAACATTAGTGTAAAATCAGATCTAAGTGTGGCCTACTGAGACTTCATGTATTTTTTTTAAACTGTCCACTATAGGAACGGGGCTTAAGTAAGTGTTGAGTGATGGAAAGTGCCACCCGTGAGGCTAGGCTAGGAAATGAAGGTTTCAGAGCCAACAAAAGCTAAGCTTTTGCAGGAAGGGCAATTACCCAACCTGAAAGATGATCTTATTGCTAACAGTAAAACTTTCTGGCCCAGTGAAAGCGATACGGTGTGTTGGGCAACACAGACCTGAGCTCTTAATGATCTCCATTAACAGGAGGACTCCTGGACTAAGGTACTTCCTACAGTGATTGCTGAAAGTCAGCATTTTGAGGAGCTTAAATTGTTCCTGACTGTAGCTATCAGACCTTCAGAAACCAACTCACCCCTGTGGCTGCTTAGGTGTGCAAATCTGGTACTCTCAGGTGTTAGAAAGACGAGAGCATCAGATGTTAAATTGACCTTAGATGACAAAATATTTCTCTACTCTGTTTCCTCTGCCAGACGTGCTTCTGAGAGAGATGTTCATGCCCAATTAACTTGCCGTGTCGCGGTGGGTTGGGATTGCATGTGTGGGTGTAGTTAGAGAGGGTGTAACAGCCTGTGAGCCAGGTAAAATTGGGGAATATAACAAGAACCAGCTATTCTTTAGCCCTTTATGGAGTTGCAACCTCAAGCCATGCATTTCTCCTCCACCACTCTCAGTACCACAGCTAAACCACAGGGTTCCTGTGTAGGATCTTTGTGTGCAGATACACACCATTGGGAGGACAGCACCACCAGAAAGCTTCACTAGTTTCCACCCAACTCGGGGAATTATAAGGCACTGTGTGACGGCCAGCCATGAAACAGACCATCAGGAGGATTTATGGTGAGAAAGATTGTCTTTGTTCTGGAAAAAAACCCCAGAGCATCCTCAATGTAGGATCAGTAATTAAATAGTAGCTCCTCTTGGAAGAACATGGGAGTGAACTCTGGCTGGATGGACACCAGTGCGTATGCTGGTGTAGCTGAACATCACATTTCTGTCCCCAGAAAACTACTGATCCATATCTAGACACATAAGATGGCTGCAAGTGGGAGAGACGTCTGTCTGAGCAGCCATCTGAAATGAGCATTTGCCTTGTGAACAAATTCCTGGACAGCTAACCTCCTTCTCCACCCACCCAAGCTAAAAAAGGGGTGGTTATATTATGTCCTTCAAGCCTGACCCCACATCTGCTGTTGGGAAAATGCAGGGTCAGGCTCTTCACATTTGCTGAGCAGGAAAACAAGGCTGGTCTCCAACAGATGTTGTACATCTATGAGATTCATGTGCCTAAATCCAGGACAAGACCTTAGAAACTTTCACCCAAATCTCTTAAAAACACTGTAAAAGTTAACCTGTAGGTTCACAGGACTTTCCATCTTCGTGAAGCCTGTAGCCAGAAGCGCAGGAACACACAACTTTTTGCGGCGGGTCGTGCTTGCAAAAGTGCTTGCAGCCTCCGTTTTTAATTGCACAAGTGAAGTCTGAAAAAAATTGAAATGAAACAGTGGAAGCCCTTCTGAAACACAACTGGTTAGAGGTTTGTTGGGACGTGGGCCTTTGGACTCAGCCTATAACCCACTTGGGTTGTTCCAGACCATGGAAAACATGTGCTTGTTTGCAAGGAGAGTGTCCTCCTTCCAAGTCATATCCCCACTTGGAATGAAGGATCTCCAGGCACCTCTTTGAGAAGGCAGGTTGAGGAACGGCCCTGGGAGAGGTCCTGGCACAGGTTCCTCCTGCCTGCAACAGCTGCGTGCTGCCCGAAATCTGGCAGCCTGACCGTAAAACACTCCTGCAAATATTTGGTTACAAGCCATGTGATTTCCCCACTGTTGTGCTGCTTTCCTCCCCCCTGCTTCGTGCAATCCAGCCCCATGGGGATGCTGGTGGAGCAAACCCCAAACCCAAGAAGGGCTTTGTCCTGGGATCATCGCTGGGTTCTGATTTTAAAGCCTTGAGAAAACCATATGTTCTTCCTGACATACCGATAAATCATCACAGCCTGACATGGGAGACCCATTTCAGTAGGATGTTTGGTGAAACAGGCTCCATCCTGAGGCACAGGGAGATTCCTGTGACTTCTGCGTGTCTTCTCCTACCCCACCTCATGCTGCTCTGTGGTGGAAACATCATCTCTTGGAGGTGGGAAACCACTAATCCACAGACGCCCTTTTAATTCTCAGTGAGTTTTCAAATAACTTCACAGCAGACTAACTCCACTCCTACTTCCTCAAGGACACCTCCCTTCCTGTAGCCATTTTAATGCCATCATTTACTATTTTTACAGAGCTCCTTTTCACGCCTCACTTCTAGCTCTATTTTTGTTCCTGTCTCACTTCCACGAAAAATCTGCAATGAGACTATTTAAATTTGATGCAGCTTTGAAATGCTCTTTTTAACGTACACTCCTCTCTTGCCAGAGCAGAAGCACAACTAGAAAGGGAATCTTTTATTAGTGCACTGAGTCTAGCACATTATGCGAGCCGCACAGCCCCTGATTATATTATAAATATAAGAGCTGAATATCCCTCTTGCTTAAATTATCAGCTGTTTGGTTTTCATAAACTCCTCAAGCCATCAGGAAAATATTTGCCTTTTGTTTGCTTTCAGAATCAAGGTTGCTGGTGATAATTATAATTATGAATCTAGCAGAGTGTCATTGAGAGGAGGCTGTGATAATCCTGCCCGGCACCTGCCCCCCAGCCTGGGGTGGGAATTGGGGAGGAGGACTGGGAGCACGGGGCATGGGGAGGGGGGGACATGGAGTTGGGTGGAAAACTCCTGCTTTCAGCAGATGAGCACGTCACCCCTGATTGACGAGCAGCCCTGGAGAGGGCTCGTGCTGGGGAGATAAAGGAAGGTCTCTGTGTCAACATTTGTGCTGGCAGCCCCAACGGGAACAAAAGACCTTGAGCCTGAGTCTCTGTTGAACCCTGCGTAAGAGCAGGCACCCGGGTGCTGGGTGGAGGTGGAGCTGGAGCTCCACCAGGGACAGGAGAGGACAGGGACATCCGGTCCTCTATCCCCAAGCACGTCCCCCGGTAATCCCATTGCCAACAGGCTGAATTTGCACATTCGTATGAATTACAGCAAGGCAAAACGTGTCCGAAGCAGCCCTCTAGAAGGATGGAGCTCACTTTGAGCCCATGGGATTTCTAGTAGGGCAGAACAACCCAGTACGTACCTATCTCACAGTTTCTGCCATCGTACCCAGGCGGGCACCAGCACACGTAGGAACTTACTGCGTCCTTGCAAGTGGCTCCGTTTTTGCATGGGTTGGGGTCACACTGATCTCCATCTTGGAGAGAAGACAGGAGAATTAACAAACGGTAAGTGTCCACCACGGTTGGTGCCCACCAAGCGCTGGAGCCTTGCTCTGGGCAAGCCTCCTGCTAAAGACGAGCAAGAGACTATACTCCTTCCTTCTTTGGGATGGAAAATAAGTACCCAAGTGCACAAGAGACAACAGCAGTGCTGGGCTAACACCAGCAGCAGGGGCCCAATGATGTGCCCCCTCCCATGTGGGTTAATTCTGCTCCTTTCAGCAGAACTCCTCTTCAGTCACATCCCCTCATGCCACATCTCAACATGACCTCGTGTCTTGACAAAGTTAGATGGTTTGCTTCCCCAAGAGTGGTTTGGATTTCCTGATCTGAATTGGTTTAACGCTACCATCTTTGTTCTCTGAAGGTTTGGGCCTGAGAGAACCTCCACTTGGGTTTGGAGACCTCTTTGCGCATTGGGATTGAGATCCTTGGTTATTGCTCTTTCTTTCTAAGACTTGTACTACTGTTGACTCGTCTAGATTTTTCTTTGTGTGTCAGGGCTTTTATTTTCATCATGGCTGCTGTTGATGCCTGGTGAGGGCAATCAGGGCTTGGTACCACTTGGGTACTGTGCAAGGGGTGAGCTCCCCTGGAACAGCAGCTTGCGAGCTGAAAGGTAAACCAGGCACTTCGGGTGATGGGGGAATGCATGGCATTCATTATTTTTGAAGAACTAATCAGTTACAGTAGCAGGGAAACAAATGCAGTGTTGAGTTTCACTGGCTGGTTTTTCAGAGTCCTACCATGCAAATACAACTTTTTTATTTTATAGTCTGGACGGAATAATCTGAATAATTTAAGGCTTTTTAGTGAGATGTTCTGGGCGCTTCGCCAATCTACGAAGCGGTTCATTTATTGAAATGTCCTTAAAATTAGTTTCAGATGTTTTAGTGGGCATTGAAATCTTTTTGGTAAGGGACTGAGGAGTCGCCGGGGATGGAGGCTGAGAGGGGGGGAAAAAAGTACACAGTGGAATGAAACTGGTGGAGCATCCAGGGTTTTGGGACCACTGGTGTGAATTGCAAACAGCTGTTTGCTGTGATCATGTTTAGACTTCGCTTTAATATGGCATTTCTAGGGATTCACGCTGGGCTTGCACGAGGCTGTGCCTTATCTGGAGGTCTCTGCTCGAGAGCAGCGCGTTTGCTGTTTGCTGGAGGGGTGTTAATTATCTCTGTTGTGTTTTGCTCTACACCACGGCTGAAAATAGAAGCCTGGAGTGTGACCTGGGCTCAATGGATCCAGTGGTCTGTGTGAACTGGTTTTGTTCTGTCAGGTTTTGGAAATCTGTTAAAAAAAATAAAACCTGCTTGAACAAATAAAATGGTAAGGTTTTTTGCAGGGGTTTGTGGTTTTTTGTTTGGGGTTTGTTTTGGTTTTTTTTTTGATTTGCAATTTTTCTACAAATGGGGCAGTCCGAAGCTGGGTGGCTGCAGGATTTAGGGTGCGTGACTCTGCCTAGCTCTGTCATAACATGGTTTCTGAATGCTGGAATATATTTGTTTCAATAAACATCTGCTGCTTATGCACCAGGAGATGACTATTATGCATTTGGACATGAAGAAAGCAGCTCTTACCAATGTATGTTTTCCAAAACTCCATCTGCAAAGGGAAAAAAAAAGAAAAAAAAAAAAAAAAGAGGTTTCCTTTGATTTCTAATTTCTAGGCACTGCCTGACTGAAGTAGTAAAGGGATGACTCCAAAGATAAAGCAAAAGACTGGCAGGAAAACAACCACCTCCGTAATCCCAGTGGTGACCAACAAGCCTTTAAAGCAGTTCCCCAGCCCAACTGATGGATCACAAATGAGAATAAAACACGATAGATGCTGTGCTTGGCCCCTGCAGGTTTTCCCCTTGCCGTTCACCCAAAAGGCTCATAAAGGACCAGGAGAGGGGAGGAACGAGGTGTTGCCATTTCGCCTCAGCGATACTCACGGTTTTCTCTGTGTTTTCAAACACCTCTCGGGCTTCTTCGTAGCTGCATATTTCTTCTATGCACTCTCTCTCAAGGTTCCCAGGAATAACCTCTTCCAGCCTGTTCGAATTGGCTCGCCTTCGCCGCTGCAGAACCGAGCTCGCCTCTTCGCTCTGGATGAAGACTGTGGTTTGAAAAGAAAGAGGGGTTAAAGAGGAGCACGTGCCATGGTGGGATGCAGCCAGGATGGGCTGTCGGGGCCCTGTTCTCCCAAAAAGCAAGCCCTTTCCCATCCGTTCACCCCTCTCATTGCCCCAAGGCCAGGGACGTTTCAGGACCGTTATCATCTACTTGAGGTTTCTTTGGTGCTTAACTTGGGTGCAATCCAGAGGATTAAATCTTGGAGAACCAGGAGTCAAAGTAGACAATAGGCAGAAATGACTGATGGTGACAGGCTGATTAGGAGCTCGGAAGTTTGATGCTTAAAATACCCTAAAGCAGATGGTGTGAGTGTCTCCTGTCATTGATGCACAGATCGGAATAAGCTATTTGAGAGGGGAAAATAATAGGCCTTTTCATGCTGCTGCTTGGTGACGCCTTGTTTGGACAGAGAAATTGTCCTGCTTGAACTGTCTCTGCCTGTTTTGGCCACAAAAGGCCATTTACCTCTGCAGCTGTGGCCCTTAGAAGCCGGTTTTCTTCTCCTCCCTGCACCTTGGCCTTGGCCATGTGTCTGGGTACCACTGCTTCGTGCTGGCCAGAGGGGTGGCATGAGCCCACCTCACCCCCTGGGCCAGGTCATGTCAATGAGGTGGTGTGCATCTATCCACCTTCAACTTCTGACCAAGCTCCTGGGCAGAAACCACCAGCAGAGAGCTGCTGGTGCCACAGGGACCCCTGGTCTAGGTAGGATGTCCATGGTGGCCACCAGCCTTCCCATAGTGGCTGCCTGGTGAGGGGCACAAGTCTTGTCATGGTGCTACCATGAATGCTGTCCCAGCAGGGCTGCGTGTCCCATCAGCAGGGTCAACAGCAGCAGCCTCTCTATGGCAGGGTTGGAACTAGGTGATCTTTAAGGTCCCTTCCAATCCAAACCATGCTATGATTCTATGAAACCGGGCAGGGTTTGCTCCTCACCCTACTCTTGGAGACCCTTGTCTCTGCTGAGCACTCTTCTCACATCCCACAGCTCCAAAAAAGACATTATTTACCCAGAGGATTGTTCCTGCTTTGCCTCCCCAGCTTTTCCTCTCTCTCCATCCTCTCTTAGCTCTCGCAGCCGTGTCCCTTTTTGTCACCAGATGGCATGGTAGAGCAGCTCTTCTTGGAGCTGATGGTGGCCACCCTAGACACAGACCCTTCTTATCTGAGTGCTCTGTGCTGGAAGGGGTTCACACTGCTGAGGGCCTGGCCCCTCTGAGGGTTATGGAGAGCAGGAGCTCAGCCAGGCGAGGAGAGAGGAGAACGAGGAACAAGTACCAGCCCCTGGTTCCTTCTCATGGCTAACTTCTGCTCTCCATCCAGAGCAGATCCCAGCCCCTCTGACTGGCAGAGGATTGGTAATGTTGAACCCTCCTGAGCCCCAGGTGGGTTGCTCTGATTTAATCCATGCCACTGATAGTTGTAACTAACCCCTTCACCTAAAGATCTCTCTCCAAGAGACTGAACTAATTGTTTTTACTATGCTTTTATTCATTGTACAGCAATTTGCACCTCTGCCTTCCTCATGATGGTGTGGTTTGGGTTAAAAATGAAAAAGGAGTGTATTCAAATCTTGACCTCAATCTAGTTGCTTGGCAGAAGATACTGATGGGCAAAGCACCGACCTCTGAAGAAGCCAGGCTTGTTTCAAACACTGCAGCTCCTGTGGGGGGTTGCTGGTCCCCTCCCAGCTGCAGGGTTGCCATGTACATGTGGAACATGAAGGTATAGCCCCAAGCAAGGCTCACTGGAGCAAGGAGGAGACCTACCCCTTCTCTCCATGGCATGGCCTGCAGCCTCCAGCTTGTCCCCAGGCTGGGCAGACAAGGCTTAGATGAGAAGTGTTCAAGGCCAAGTTCGATGGGGCTTTGAGCAACCTGGTCTAGTGGGAGGTGTCCCTGCCCAGGGCAGGGGGGGTGAACCAGATGGTCTTTAAGGTTCCTTCCAACTTAAACTATTCTATGATTCTGTGAATGGTGGAGCTGCTTTCCTTGGTTTTGTAGCCCTATTGGGTTCTCCATGTACTTAGAGCCTGGGTATCCTGACTTGGGCACAGCTTCACATCACCCTGTGTGAAGAGATGCAGCTGTGTTAGACCCTCTCCTTTATCTCTTCCTGGTGGGATGTGCCAGGCACCTGCTGCAATTAAGCCATTTAATGGAGAGAACTCACTTTAATGAAGGCAGCTTTGCCTCCCTCGGATCCCTGCAGGCTTTCTCAGTTGCTTGCTGATCCCACACGCTGCTTTACAAGCTCAACTTGATTTGAACTGAAGGTTCACTCATGGAAACCACCCTCGCACCAAGAATATACTCACACATGACTTATCAACTTCTGAACCAGTATCTGAGAGAGAGAGGTGGGTCCCTGGGCCAAGGGGATGTGGGGACAGACTTATCCTGCTGGTCGAGTATTGTATTTTCTAGGAGGTAACCCTGGGCAGGTGGTGGTACTAATATGAGGTTCTACTCATTTTTCATTGCTAAGCAAACATTTTGGGAAAAGGCCCTTTTTTTTTTTTTTTTTTTAACCTGTTACTTGCAATGTTTTAATGAAAGAAGAAAGGCCAGCCTTGCACCCAACAAGAACTCACACTGGATGAGACCCAGCCTCTGCTGGAACTGTTGCTGCTACAGATAAATCAAGCAACAGCCTGCATTACTGCGTGTGATTGCCTGCATCCATCAACCCCGCTATCCTGTCTAGGGTTTTGGCTGCATCTCACAGCCTTTGTTAAATTCACGCTGGGTTTGGCTTTAAACAGTTCTCTCAGTGGCAAATCCGATGGCTGTTTTATGGCTGTGAGCACTTGTTTGTGCTCTGGGACAAAGGGGTGGCACAGGCAGAGGTGTGGATGTTACTCCACCAGCAGCGCTCTCCCCTTTTTCTCCCTTCTCTGTGTGGGTTGCGTGCCTTCTAAAATGGCTGAATCAAGCTCCGAAAGCTTAAAAGCCGCAAAAAAAAATTTAAGAAAAAAATCCCATTCTTAAAAATAATCCCTGTGACACACTGTGCGTAACATCAGCATAAAAGCTATTATTTCATTCCCAAGCAAAGAACCGAAGCTTTAAAGAGAGGAGCTATGAAACTCTGCAATCCCTCTGAGCTCTTATCTCTTAACGAGGCTGCACAAGCTGTCCCACCATCAAGGGACAAGCTGTCCCCTCATCTGTGCCAGTAACACACACACGCCCACCCCGTGCACCCAAAAGTGAAAGACTTTCTAGGTTTTAAACGAACCCACCTGTACTTTCGGCAGCAAGGCACGCTCCCAGAAGGCAGACGGAGAGCACGAGGGGGATAGTTGCCATCTTCTTCCCACTGCCCCAACCTCTCGCTAACAGATTGTCCGGGTCGTGGAGCTCAGTCAATAGTTCCAAAGTGCAAGTGCTTGTTTATTTATTCTGGGTAACCCTTTAATTTAAGGTCCCCAGATGTGCCATTGGTGAGGCTTGCAATGGCAGTGGGGTGTTATATGAGAGGACACGTCCGTGTACAAGAAATGTGATTGGAAACTCCAGTCCTTGGGTTCATCTTCTGCCCCGTAGGACGTTACTGCGATGTTTAGGGGTTGAGCATGGCACAAGAATAAATCAGTTCAACTTCAGTTATCTCTTTAAAGCACTGGATTTCCCATTGCTATAAAGGTGATGATGTTGGTCATAGGAAGGTCCACACCGCGTGGTCCACATTTTGTCCAAAAGAGGTGTCACAATGCCTTGGAAGATGACCCTACAGATGATGTTTCCTCTTGGGTACCAGGCAGCCTTGGACCGGGGCTGTGTCAGCCAGCACGGTTTCATACAGGTTATCTAATTAAAAAAGTGGATGGAGTGAGGTGATGCTACTGGTCCATTACCCAGATTTGCTGGGGCAAACCCTGGAAACACCACAGAGTTTCCCAGGTCCTGTACTTGAGGTCACAGGGAGGAACCTGCTGCTTGGTGGCTTGGATGGTGGACTGGCGTAGGAATGTGCTGATAAAAGGCTGGATTTGGAGCAGAGAGAGCATGCAGGTTCCTGGCTGCAGGGCAGGTCCACAGGCTGCTCCTCATCCACACTGGCCAAAGAGTAGACTGAAATGGAGGAAATAGGGAAAAAAAAAAAAAAAAGCAGGTTTTCATACAGAAAAAAAAGAGTGGGTTTTCATATAAAACCATTCATTTTTAAAGGTGGGTTACTTACAACTTTTTAAAATAATTTCTTCCCTCCTTCTCACTTTCCATTAATGCGAAGAACTATTTCAAGGTGAGTAACTGCTTTTGGGAAAATACTGAGCATTGTAAAAAAAAAAGATATGAAACATTCACTTCTGGAAAGGTCAAATGTCTGCCCCCCACCTCCTTCCTGAGGAGTTCCAGGGAAAGCCAGCCAAAATCTTTCATCCCAGGGCTTGTGGGTTTTTGGCCAGTGACCAGTTCCTCAAAACCTGCTTTCCAGTTCCTGCTTCTCCCCCTACTCCCCCATGCATGGGGCAGAACCTAAATCCATCATTGCACCTGTGCATGTCTGGGGCTCGCAGTGCTGTGCCCAACAACGAGAGGGTCTGGAACAGAGGCATTTTGGGGCAGAACTCTATTTCTGAGTGCGATGTTGGTGCTGTTAATGCTGGTGCTCCTCCAGGGAGATGCTGAGCACCTCCCGTGTTGGATGTGCCCATGTCTCGCAGGCTGGAGAGCCGGTGGTTGCTATGAGGCTACAATAGCCCTTGGGTAGTTGTTAAAGTGTTTGCTCGAGCTTGTGAACCATAAATTGTGTGCTCAGTCCAAAAAAATTAAAAATGTTCCTTCGCGCAGCAAATGGGAGAGACATTTATGGTCGTGTGTGTATTTGGACTTTTGTATGAAGAAAGGACCCATCAGCCACGGGTAAATATGAGATGCTGAATGTGAGTTACAGCCTTGCGATATCCGTGTTGCCTAGGTGGAAAAAATCCTTTATTTTCCCTTTTCTTGAGCAAACAAAAGGTCCTGAAACCTATAATTCATCTTGTTTCTTCTTGCTCCATTTGAAATGATCTTTATTCATCACTGACAGTAGCTTTTGTTATCAAATTTATGTGGTAGATAAATGAGTTAGGATGAGGTAATGTGCTGTTGATGTAAATTGAATGCAAAGTGAAGAAGGCAATGATCATCTCTCATTTTCTGTGCATAAGAAAATGCAAATGTGAGAAAATAAATTGAGCTAAAATGCGGAAACAATACATCTCCTATCAATAAAAAGGAGTGTAGAGAATGGTCTGCCATAACAAAGGATAATTAGAATCTCATTACTGTAAATATTTTACTTTAGAACATAGGTCAGTCAAATTATTTTTGGTTTATGGTGCATATTTCAGTTGTAATAGTACTTGCAACATTATTGCTAATTAATCATCACAGAAAATGCCAACATCGTTAGAATAAACAAAGCTATTAATACAAATAATTTCTATTGTTTACTACTATTGTAACTATTGTCAACTTCTCGGGCACTAAATTGAAAGCAAAGTCTTTCTTTTTAGATATTTTGCAAACAAAATCCCCTAGAATTGCATTCCCACCATGGGCACTTTGGAGATGAAAGCTTTGCTGTTTAGGTGGATAATATCAATTAAATAACGAATCTGGGTTTGTTTTGACTTCACTTTCTGTGTTCTCAAAAGAAGGTGATTCAAAGTACACACCCAAGTCATGTTCCTTCCTATTAGAAAAGCTTTCTGTAGCAATGAGCTCTTAGGACACATCTTTTCTGGTTCGGGGGCTTGGGGCACTCTTTTTTGGGAAATATCCTTTTTTTTGTTGGAACTTGTGGCTGCACTTGTGGCAGCTGGGCACGTGGTTGTGTCAAAGGCAGAAGGAGCTGGCATTGGCACAGGGCAACGTGTTCCTGTCAGGGCCACCACCTCAGGCTTGGGGACTGCCCCTCTTTCAGGGAAGCTTTTTGCTGCAAAGTGAAATGAAGTTTATGAGAAGTCAGAACAAGGAAGCTATTTCCATTTCAATCTGATAGATTTTTCTTAAAATGTGCTCTGGCTGCACTGATCAATAATGTTAAACAGCCGGATGGCTTGAGGATCTTGTTAAATGATTGTTCATAATCTCCCTTGTCTCCAAATGCACTCTCTTAAGCACAAGATCCTTACTCAAAACCTTAGGCAAATTGCAATTTGCCCTTGTCCTCTAGACAGCTATGGTAAGTAATCCTTCCTTAACCAACAGCAAACAAGCCATTTCTGAAAAAAAAACAGGGAAAGTAATGCTTGATCTTTATTTTTTTTTTCTTCTTTATTTGATTACTTTGAAGTCCCTGGCTTTTTCTGGAGCAATGATTATGGGAAGCTTTATTTGATTGCTTTGAAGTCCATGGCTTTTTCTGGAGCAATGATTATGGGAAGTTATCCAAATATAGAGGCAGCACAGCCATGGAGTCCTTTGCAGTGACTATCACTCTGTTGTAGTAATTAACATACTGGAGAGAGTACCAATTCTGTTCAAAGTCCCAAAGCCACTGAAAATGGCTACAGAACAGGTTTCCCAGAGAAGCTGTGGCTTCCCCATCCCTGGAGGGGTTCAAGGCCAGGTTGGATGGGGTTTTGAGCAACATGGTCTGGTGGGAGGTGTCCCTGCCCAGGGCAGGGGCTTTGGAACTTGATGATCTTTAAGGTCCCTCCCAACCTAAACCATTCCACGATTCTAAAAAAAAGATACTAAGGTGTATTTGGATGTCAGTGGTGTTGGTGATCTACTCCAGGTTGGTGATACACCGTCAGCTTTCACAGGTGGGATGCAGAAGCCTTGTCCCTGTGGTGGTGGGATAGCAGACACAGGGAGATGCTGCTGCTGACTTAAAATCTGGGCTGTGGGAGGGGTATTCAGGCAAAAAGGAGGTGGCTGGCTCTGGTGATGAGAGACAACAACCAGGACCAACCCTTCAGTGACAGCAGCATGCAGCTTGTGCAGGAGCAGTGCTGGCTCCCACATCTCTGAAAGCCTCTCCCCTACTCCCCCTATCCATCTCAGGGCTTTCAGTTCCTGTATTGGGCATTTTGCTTCTGCTTTTGTGCAGAGGCTTGAATACTTGTGCCAAGAAGCAAGCTCCCCTTGCTGAATTCCCTCCAGATACATCCATCCCAGTTGGCACTTAAGCTCTGTCCCTCCCATTTTATTCTGTTTTTAATTAGACTCCTGAACAGGAGCACAGAGCAAACTCCGCTTTCATCTGGGAGATCCTGTGGCTGTGAAATATTTAGGGGAAGTAAATAACTGTCAGAAAGCAAGTCCCTGACTCTACATGAGTGTAAAAGTGCTTTGAAATAGTATCATTCGAATAAAAGCTTCTCATGTTGAGTGGCAGTAAGAAACAGCAACACAGGCAAAAAATTCCCAATGTAGAAGGTAAACACAATTACTAATTCATGGAGCAGCACGTTTCACAGTAGCAGCTTTAATATCTTTCTTTTCAGTTTGATTTAAAATAGGCCAGATTAAAAGGAAATCTGGATTTGGTTTGGTCACTGCCTTTTCAGAAAGCCGAGCGCCAGCACAGCTAGACACACCGTGCTGCTGGAGATATTCTAAATTTAGCCTTTGCCATCTCCACTTCCAACTCTGCATAAAGCAATGAAACAAAGCTTGGAGAAGGCAGCAGCTCTTGCAGGTTTCGATGGGTCAGGTAGATCACCAAGCTCCCACATCATCCTACAAAGCAAGAACAAAGTTAAATATAAGCTCAAAAGCTGGCTGCCCCCTGTGTGTGTGGATGGAGGCTCATCCTGCCCCGGATCTGCTGATGTGAACCTGAGTTCTGGAGGTTGCTTTGAAATAGATCTCTGAAATATCTTTCTCCCTCCTCCAGCAAACCCGTTGCTCCCATCTGCTGATGGTATTGGTAGCATAATGTCCTAGAGAAATACTCCAGGACCAGGCCTGTTAATAGAGACAGGTTAACTCTAGCCAGCAGCATCCAACTGAGGCAAGGGAGCTTGTTTCCTGCTTCATTCCTGGGAGATGATTCATCCCACCTGATGTTGGAGAAGGGAGGTGTCTCTCTCTTGCTCTCTCTTTCTGTTGGTGAGAAAAGGAGCCTTGATTAGCAGCTTATGCTTTATGCTAAACGTTATTTTTGGATAGTCAAAATTGGGGTGAAACGAGTCTCAATCAGCACATCCGAACCCATTTTGCACTTAATTCCATACTGAACATAAAGTAATAAAAATCAGTGTTTTCCCTTTGCCCGTTTTCTATGTCAGCATTTGTGACTATGCCCTCGTTAATTTTCTTTGCCTTAACCATATTCCATCTGAAGCTTCTACCTTCTCCTTGCACCAGAGCATCCTTGTGCCCTAGTCACCTTTTCTACCTCCCTTTCT